TCTTCTCAGCGGGTCGCGATTCCGATCCGGTAGTAGATTCATTCGCGAAGCAGCTACTCTTGAGTTGTTAGGTCTCCTTCGGAGGCGCTCGGGTAGCTGTTAGCAAATCCCACCCCTCCTGGCTGAGCCTTTGCTCGCCCACCTGTCCTGGTGAAACTGGAAAGGCCTCCGGGCCACCAGTAATCCTTCAATCATAAAAAAAAAAAAAAAAAACACGATGAATACGACGAATCTTTTATGCTATTAAAAAATGAAACATTAAGACATAACATTAAAATGAAATTCGTACTGCAGGTGTACAAAACAGCCGTCGAAACAGCGATCCTGCTGTTGAGGATCGACGACATCGTGTCGGGCTCCAAGAAGAACAAGAACAATGAGCCCGCGGCGCCGGCCGAGATGGCCGCACAAGAAAACTAACTTACATTATATAATTAGCATTTAAGCTCGTTTTTGGGACTAATCTTGACCGTAGTTCAGCAGATGTCATTCAAATTACGCGATAATTATTCAGCTAGACCATAATATAGAATCATTTATAGATTTCAACATCATCATCATCATCATCATCATTATTATTTCCTATTACCCTCTGCTGGGGTGTAGGGCTCGAATCAAATTTTTCCATTTACATTGGTCTTGGGCAGTCTGTTCTGTCATGCCCAAGACCCCTAGCTCCTGCTCCACCGAGCGATGCCAAGTTGTTCTGGGGCGGCCTCTCTTCCTTTTTCCAGACGCTTTCCAGGTCAGTGCTCTCTTTGATTTATAGATTTGGAGAGAACTTAACGGTAGACAGCGGCCTGGCTCTGCTCCTGGCATTACTGAAGTCCACGGGCGACGGTAACCATTCACTATCAGGTGGGCCGTATGCTCGTCTGCCTACAAGGGCAATAAAAAAAATCTTTTTCTTACCCTTATCCCAATATGTGGGTTCGACGCTGCATGTCCTTTTTTCTATTTAGATCTATCATACATCATCACTGCATTCAGTCTTCCCTCACACATTCTCTTTAAAGACGCCAACTCCAACTCACATTATATTCGTTCATTTATATTATTATTGCAAAAAAACGTAAACTCTTCTCGGTACAGAGGACTCTTGGCCTCTCACTGCATTCGATGAATAAGAAGGCAATATCGCTAAATAGCTATGTGTGAGCAAGATAGAAGCATAGTTATTGGCTTGAAGTTTGTGTGTTAACCAGTACACATGTAACAACATAACATCAACAATGTGTACACGGAGTAAACGAGTTTGTGCTACTACCGAAATTTGAATTGAATAATTATTTTGCACACTAGGTAATGTATTCTAACAATAATGAAAATTTACAATATTTGACTACTTAGTGTTATTATGTCTTTTGAATATCAATTTGATTTTTTAGTTTAAACCGACCAAATTGTGAGTTAAATTGTCAGTCAGGATAATTAGTTTGTCATCGGTGTTATTTTTTTCATTAATTCAAGGTTCACAGGAATTTATTAAAATATTTTGAATGTTACTTTCAGTTATAAGTTCAGTAATGTGCAAACCAATATGAATTGTTATATTTCGATCAGTTAATATTTGATTTATGAGTTTAGCAAATATCATGTTCAAAAATAACTTAGTCTTGTTTGGACATTGTGGATTGAGTGTGCACTGCTGAAATACGTTCAATTTTGACACTGGCAACATTTCATCGACAGTTCATCCGAGAATTGCAAGTTATGTCCCAAAGGATTTAGAATTTCTATCGCTAGCTAACTATTTGTTTAACCTAATCGTAACTATGGGAAGTGAGACCGATCACAAATGCTTGTCTTGTATTTTTGTCTTACAATTACAATGTCTTATTTATGATAATGTATTTTGAAAAAGTTGTCTTTTTTTGTTCGGATTATAGCTTAGTTTTGTCTGGCGCTGACTAGTGTTAGCGTCGTCAGCACCGTGAGCATTTTATTTTCTTGGAATCTTAATATGTAACAAAAGTATTAAACATTTTATAAACTAAAATTTGTTTTATTTATGAACCCTTGAATCGATAGGCAGCAACTTTGCTCTGTTGCCGAAATTGTCAATGACTTTCTGTTTACCACTTCTAATTTCCCAAATTTGTGGTAGGGGTAAATTCACATTGATAGGAACAACAATCCTATGATTTGATTGAGTGTTTTAGTAAGTGGGGTAGACACCCAGTGGTGGATTTACACTAGGGGCAGTCGGGGCAAGTGCCCAGGGTGGCAAAATTTTGAAAATAAAAATATATTTTTTAGTCTGATATTGCTCAATATAATCAATTTATTAATAATTTTCTGTTTATAAATAATTTTCTGTTTAATTGATAATTCAACAAATTCAGTTCATTCATTATTTGTGAATTATAATTTTGGCACTTTTGGAAAAAATAATAATCAAAATGATTTAATCAATTTATTTTCTTGGAAATTTAAAATAACTAATGTTCCCGCATTAGTCGAGATTCGACCATAGATTATACACTTAATACATATATTCGAGAGATTCGACTATAATTAATTGAAAATATATGTTTCAACAGACTACACTATAGACAAATACTCGTAATATTAAAGATAAACAATATTAGCCTATTCTCAATTTGACTGCAGACTTATTTGCAATAACAAAAGTTTGACAATAAACTAAGAGTATATGTTACTGTGTCAAAGACATGGTAGTGTAATGTTTTCTTTATTGGTTTAATGTATCTTGCATTATTTCAAAAAGTTAGCATTGTGAACTTCTCTATATTCTCTATGTGTGGAAAATTTCATACTCCTCCATCCGCGCATTTTTTGTAAAAAGGGATACAGTTTTTGCTTCACGTATTAATGAATAGATAATAGATTTTTCTATTTTCTGTAATTTAAGAAATTTAATTAGTTTTTTATGTAAAATTATTAATTATGACCCACCCTTAGTGCCAAATTTATAATTGTTTGAAAAAAAAAAAAAAAATTATTTATGTTTTTGGAATATATAACATAAGTTTCTGCAATAAATTAGTTATTTTTATTTTGAAAATTAAAATATACTTAATTTATACTACAACTTTAGGTAAAATTCCAGTATTGGGGCGGATTTTTTTCCGGTCCCCAGGAGCGACATTAATTTTAAATCCGGCTCTGTAGACACAACTGGAGTAAAGACGATTTCCAATTCGTGTTTTAAGAACGATGGCGACATTCCCGATGCGATGTCTAGGGCCCTGTGACCCCTTATGCAAACGCAAATGCAAAAAAAAGCAAATGTTTTCCAAAAATGAGTTGCACATGGAATTAATTGAAAAAAAATTAAAAGTTTTCATAAAGACAATAACTCAATCTCAATCATCAATCAGTTTTTCAATCATCAGTCATAAAAATATACTTTAAACTAGTCGATTCGTATTTTATCACACAAGCGTTGCTCTGTTGATCAAAATTCAATTAGTCGCTGACAATTCAAGTTTTAGATTCATTTTATGTACCTATTACATTTTTTCTTTATTGTTTAGATGGGTGGACGAGCTCACAGCCCACCTGGTGTTAAGTGGTTACTGGAGCCCATAGACATCTACCACGTAAATGCGCCACCCACTTTGGGATATAAGTTCAGTCTCAGGTCTCAGTATAGTTACAACGGCTGCCCCGACCTTCAAACCGAAACGCATTACTGCTTCACGGCAGAAATAGGCAGGGCGGTGGTACCTACCCGTGCGGACTCAAGGGGTCTTATCACCAGTACCAGTTTCGCTTTTGTTTTTTTAATTGACAATTTAGATAAAAAAATACCATTTCCAATTTTTTTGGTGACAACACAAAATAAATAAATGTGTTGACAAATAGAGAAAATTTTCGACGGGAGAAATGTCGCAACTGCATTTTAGTCTAAATCGCTTTTTACCATATTATATTCTAAATATGATTTAAGTTTCTTTCGTTGTTGAATTAATTTTGTCCTTACTTATTTTAAAATTTACCTAAAGCTTTGCTGTATTATTTATCTCTCTTATCTTATTATTATCAGAATTCGTTATGGTGTAAATGTGGGAACTAATTAAAACAAGGCAAACATTAATTAACAGGAAAGGATGGTCTGTGAGCGCGGTTCGCGATGGGGCGACACGCATCGAGGCTGTATTGTCCAAAACAGATAATCCAAAAATGCTGTTATTCGGACGTGTTTCCATTGTCTAAACGATATCCGAGCTCCGAGAATCGACTTATAATTTGGGCTGTTGTACAAAAGGCGAAAGATTGCCTTAGGCAAAAAAAAATTAGGTTTGTGTATTATTTTATTATTTATTAGATACATTTATTAGAAGATATGGGTACACGACTTTGACTATCTACATACATCTACAGCTAGAATTCAATTTAATTCGTGTGTGTGTAGTGGTAACATCATCCAAATTAACCATCCTAAAGGAGCTGCCTTTGAACTGTTAGGCGTTCTTCGGAAGCGCTCTTTACATACATACCCCATCCTTATCAATGAGTCCGTCAGCTTCAGGTCCGAGTTCAGTGTGCTTAGTGCGAGTTTTTTAACGTTCTCGATAGCGTAAAAGTTAACCCAACTTTGTATAGAGTTGGAGCAGCGCCCCTAGCGGCAAACGATCCCATTCCATACAGATATGAGCTTACTTTTACGCTATCGAGAACGTTAAAAAACTCACACTAAGCACACATGTGTACTGTGCATCGGCAAAGGTGGGTATCACCGTCCTATAACTAAATAGAATTCCTTACGTTCCGGTGTGAACGTACAGAACTGCTTTGGATTACAAATTTCATTTTCAGTGTCACTGATCAAATCGATATTTATAAATGGGCATCGTAGTATAATATCCGCACTACTTTTTTAAATGAGCACGTTTATTAATGACGGATTTCTATCAGTCAACCCTTGCCGCTAGCAGCATTAAGGAAATTGGTTCTGAAAATCTTGAAGAGTTTCATGTAGGTACTACGCTCCGTTCAATCCGAAAATTTTCAGTTTTCTTATTATTGCATTTGTTATACCACAAAAGTAGAAAAACGTATGCATCACTTGGGCATTACCTACGATACGTGAACTTTCACTAAAGACAATGGAAACACGAATCAATTGTGTTGACAAACAATAAGTTCACAACGCGTGACGAGTGATTGACTGGGTGCCCTGGCTAAGTCGATTTGGTGATTTACAACATTGCGGAAGGCATCTCTGAGCAGACGGGTATAGGAATATGCAAATGTAAGTGATAAAAAATTATTTGCAAATGTTAGCTTTATCTATGATGTCATATATTAAATTATAAATGTTAAAAATTAAAAACATATTATAATAATATAATTTCATTTAATTATCTAATTCTCGCGCAATTTTTTTATTTTTATTGTGCCTTTATGAAGTAGATAACGGTAAAGTTCGGTATAGGGCCTCTACGAATTTTTTTGATAGAATTATTTGCCAAATGTTTTTTGCATTATTGTACTTATTGTGTCAGTGATTCATGGTTTTTTTTATATTATTATATTTTTGTATTGTGGGTGTATTTCATTTGATTTCGCCTGTTCCAAGAGCGACATAGAAATCGTTTTGGATCTTCCCGTTGCAACGGCT